TGGTATTATAGGCTGGCTATGTTTATGATTGTTTTATTGAATGGTTATGTATATTATGCTATTTTATGTCAAGACTAGCTATGTTTATGATATAGGTTATGTATACTATGATATTGGTTAGGTCTGTTATGATATTGGTTATGTATGTTGTGATACTATAGGCTGTCTATTTATATGATGATAGAGGTTATGTATATTATGGTATTATAGGCTGGGTATGTATATTTTTGTATTATAGCCTGGTTATGTTGGTTATGTATGTTATGGTATTACATTATGATATTGGAACAGAGAGGACAGTAGGGATGGATGATGGTGTGTCGCAAGAGAGAGAAGCATGTCAAGGGCGGACCCTGGTCCCGCTTTCCTTTTCAACCACCCTCCCCACCACCCCTCCGTCCCCCCCCCACTACTCCGCGCCCTCTTTTCCGCTTCTAGAACATCTCGTATCCCATTTATTTATAATTTCATCTAATCCCTTATAATAGTTTAAAATTTGATCAAAATATTATATAACGTATAATATGACCCAATCATGATGTTTTGTAATCCAAAATGAAGATAATCCTTGAATTATAATAAATATTATACGATTATTCTTTTTAGATTATTCACATTTAATTTGCATAGATTAATATCCGTGATTATTTTCTTTTGGGAAAAAAAAACCGTTACGAAATTAATTATATTAAATAATAAAATCTTAATTTTAATTGCACATGAAATAATTTAATAATTGTGAAATTAATCATGAAAATAACTGATTAAGATGTTATTTAAATGTATAGGACCCTTAATTATTATAAATTAACTTATTTATTGTTATTTTAACGAGCTGATCATCGCTCAGTAAAAATGATGGACAGAGGAAAACATGAATTACTGAAAACTATAAGCCTCTATTTTCGACCGAAGCACTCTCTGAATTAACAGATCAATTCAAGAGCGTGTATCTTCACTCTTTAAGTATATTGATTCACCTAGGTGATACCGCGGTATAGATCTGGTCCTATTCTTTGCTTAGTCTAGGAGTACCATAATCAACGGTTCCCCCATATCGTCTGCCACCAGTCACTTTTTCAATAATTATTTGTAACGTATTGGTTCAGACAATTGTTTTTTTTATAATTTTCCATTCCTCAGTTTACGTTCCTTTTGTTGTTTAGGCCGACATGAGGACTATGAAATCTTCAAATCATCCTCTATTTTGTAGATCATGTTGGATTAACCTTTGAATTTTTTGACGAATCTAAGAAAATCAAAATTCTAGAGGTCTCGAAGAAACTGGACGGCAGATGAACGTTTCTTAGTTTATTTTTTATACATATATAAATGTTTTTATACTAAAACATCAAATTATAAGCGAATTAACATCTTTTCACCAAAATCGACTAACCGTACATCATCGATTATAAACATTTTTTAAATTTTCTCGAGAACGGATCCTACGACTTTGATTAAGCCTGCCATATCGATGAGTAGTACATTTAATGTGTGCATTTGAATTAAGTATGTGCATCTCATTGTTAGTAATAATAAAAAATGGCTCAATATAAATTATGAAGGAATGTGATGGCAAAGTAAGGGAGGAAAATGAGAATATATTTCCCAGACTGAAAAAGAATTTTGGGATTGATATCGTCTACTTTTATATTAATTCATGGGAAATAAATGCTTCTATAGAAACTGAATTGAAACTTTTAAAATTTATTTTAATCATGTCGATGAAATAAATAAGATGCAACGAATCAAGGGACTGCAATTTTTAAAAAACTATTGTATTGTTGTTCATTGAGGGAAGACGTGGGGAAATACTAGCTGCTAAAAATACTTCAATGTTTACAGATGAGGTAAAATATATATTTATAACCTTAAATAACTTTACTATAGTTTAATTTATTTATAATTCTTTAATCATGATTATCCTTATTATTTTTACTGTTGTCATTGTTTCACAAAATTTCAAATATTTATTATTGAGATTTGATAATATTAGTCCGTGGTACAGATCTCTTTTTATAGAATTATTAACATCCACCTGAAATTTCTTAAATAGTTTCATCTCATCGTAACCTATAACTATTTTATTTACGAAAACTCTTGGAATTGGGGCGTTTTCAATCTAGAGGGGGAGGGGGCAAATTTCTCAAACCTACACCCCCAAATTTTCAAAATAACGAGGTTATATAGGACAAACGGCCCAATATATTTGCAGGGCACCTTTTTTTCTCGATTTTGTGATAAAATTATCTTATGATTCAAGTAGAAAGCAAATCAGTATTTACGAGTTGTTAGTACCTAATTAAATAGACCAAGTTTGGCCCCCTCCAGATTGAAAACGCCCCAATTCTAACAGTTTTTGTAATAAAAAAATAGTCGTAGGTTACGATGAGACGAAACTAATTATGAAGTTTCAGACAAATAGAGGTCTGTACTACTGATTATATCACACTGTTTTAGTGATAAATAAACTTGAGACTTATGAGGGAGTTACCCTTCGTTTTTCCCAATGACTTTGTTTGACCATCATCCACTTGTTAAGTTGTGCATTTCGAATCAACAACCATCAACAATTAATGGACTCAGTGATTTTCACCCATAGTGATCCAAAACTGTACTCAAAGAGAAACCTTTTCCAATCCCATTCGCGCCAGCTGAAAGCTCAACACACTTAACTTTGGCTGCTCATTCTGTTGAAACGTTTTGCGTGATGTGTTTTACCTGAGCCTCTTTTGAAACCGTTGAAAGGGACGGCTATAAATTTATAAACGACTGTCCCCCTCCCTCCCTCCCTCCCGAGCCATAGTTAATAATGGCACCAAGCCTAAAACTACAAACCCACTTTCTCCCAAGACAAAGCGCTCACTTGACAATAGCCCCAGTCAGATTTACACACATCAATGAAGATATTGCAACTCAATAATGCTTATCCTAGTTCTCTTATCTTGTTGGGTTGCATCATGGTTGGCTCTTTCATCTCCTTTTCATAGCCTAGAGTAAATAACTTACTCTCCAGCAAAATGTCTTTATTATACGCTCGTTATGTTTATTAATGCTAACGTTTTAAATACACGATATTTGATACATATATAACTTACTGGCTAGTTTATATGGGTATGAATATTGAGCAACCACGAATATATTCTATATGTACATATGTAATGAAGCTTGTAAAGTATGTCACAAGATGTGGCCATAATATAGCTTTTGTCTTGGGAAACGTTATTTAATGTCTCTTTCCGTGATATGTAATGATGAATTCCATTTATTGTAATGTAAAAATTACTTTACATCATCAGAGAGAGACTTATTATATGGGTGTGAAAAACGTTTCGAAATTTTTTGGTGATATGAATACAGTAAACATTTTATCATTTTTCAATATTCCTATCGTCGAATGTCCACTCAACGTAATCTTAAAATACCTCTACCACGCCTACCATATTTCGTAAACCTGTCTGACTTAACTCTTAAAATAGAATGTTTCATAATGACTATGTATTGAATAATGCCTTAAAAAAACCTATTTATCCTCTAATTTCAAGCTTATATGGAAGTCAGTTAAAACGTAAAGATTTTTTTTTTAAATGGGATCGGTCGGTATATGTGGTAGAAACTGAAGTTGTGTACCTTAGGACATAAAACGTAGAAGTTAATTATCTTTTAGATATTTTTAATTTTATAGTTACAGGTAAAATTTCGATTAGATTTCAATCCGAGAAATAAATTTTCTTTTCTTCTTTTATTTCTTTTATTTAACTTTACGATTTACTACTACTTATGTGCAAGTAATATTAGGACTAACTGGGTTACATTCCTAGTATTTATATGCATAGCATAAATGCATGTTGTTTGTAATTAATATAAATAAGTCCTGAACCAATAGACACAAGTATGTGATTACTTTTAGTCAATGTTTCCGAGTCCCATGAAGATGATGGGGTATCTACAATGATATTCGTCCACTCCCACATATCCAAGAGAGGAAGATTATCACACCTAGATTACAAAACACATTAAAAATTAAAAATAAATAAAATATTTATCAAGTGAATATAAAATTGTAAAGTAAATTTTGAAATGACACCAGTGAAGTTATAATAAGCTTACATCCAGGGGATCTATCGACCCCATAACTACTGAGTCATCGATAAATAAAGGAACGTGCTGAATTCATAATAAATGTATCCCTTTCCTAAAAGAGAAATTCCGTGAGACCTTCGGAGAGAGAGAGTTCACCGTGAGAGGCCTCTGGTTTGGGTCTCACGGAACAATTCCAAAAAGAACATGGAGGTTCCTCGAGGAACTAGGTGTCGACATTAAAGACGTAGCGAGGTTGGCTGAAAATATAGTCCTCGACTCCCTGGGAATCATTCAACCCCACGTGCATGCATAGGCTGAGAGTTTTAATTTATGTATTTATTTAATAAGAGAAAGAGAGAGAGAAATGAGAGAAAGGGAAATTAAATCTTTTTTAAAAAAGGGAAAAAAGAAGCATGAACAATGAAGGAAGAAAAAAAAATTATATATATATTTATTATACTAATATAAACTAACCACTTCTGTATATTTATATATAAGTTCATTTATTGTCATACGGATTAACGAGTATGCTGTGTATATAGCAACCCAATATAATTGGGCAGCAATCTTTTATTTTTTATATGAAAATAAAGTGTTTCTCCCTCCTTTCATGAATTAAGGAACAGCTTATTGGATTTCTGATGCCCACCAATGGACCTTGCCCAAATATTTATAGAGTGGACAGCTTGAGGTAGTGCATATCATGTCAAAGGTCAAACTATACAGTAAGTCGTCAATCGGTAGTTTTTAACATTTTGATTTTCGTAGCTTGGAGATATTTTGGGAGGAGAGAAGCGTTAATGTATTCCCGCAGTTTTGTCACCATTCATCCCCTCCACATTGACGACGTCGCTATATTTTGTGATTTCCTTCACGTTTTTCTCTTTCTTTACCGTAGAAACGATGTTGTTTTGTTGATGAAGTTGTGTAGCCGTTATTATCGGGGAGGAAAACGTGGTGCAGAACATTTTGGAGCGCTGGGATCGGGCGGAGAGGCAGTGGTGGAGTGGTGCAATGGACCTTGTTCCCGATTCCCCCTGGAGTCATTCCGGCCACCTTTACTGTCTCGCCTATTCAGTACCATCATCTGTCAAAAATAATTGATTTTGTATTTTATGGTCATTTTAATGTATCCTTATAATTATTTTAATAGAGTTTTGTTCTGCTTTTTTAAATAAAAAAAATGTCCTTGGTACAGGCGTAACATTTTTCAAATGACTTGTATTTGAAAGTGAAACGTTCTATTAGACATTTCGATTTATTTTATCTGTTTTCCAATATATTTAGGAGTCAAATAATCCACTCAAATCAAATTGAAATAACTATTAGTATTTGGACAGATGATATCCAAAAACTAATAGTCCAAAAACCTCCTTGCCCAAACTAGAATAGTTCATCAGATTTGAGACTTGAGAAGTTAGACCTTAATTAATAAAAAAAAAACTTCCGAAACTTAGATCGTGGTTTCGGAAAAGTTGTTTTTAAAGTGACGTTTACTTGACTTTATTATAATATATTATTAGCAATAAAAATTAATGCCGCCGTATATTTAATTGACTAATGCCTTAATAAAGTGAAAAATCACACGAAAATAATCTTCGAAATAAAATCAATTCATCAACTAACTAGTTCCCTAATATTTGTGCAGTTATTAATTGTCCACTTTCTTTAAATTGGAATTAAAAAAAAAATTGCGGATATTTACTTTTATTCAAATTTTAGTATTCATCATTATAGCGCCCACGGATTAATAATAGAATTTTTGTTTTCACTTTTAAAAAATATGGTCATTAAAAATTAGTACATGGAGTATATATTTATATAGGGAAAAACGTTATATCTGCTGAAAGATAATATAATGACAATAATTGAGTAGTAAAAACAATACCTTCTACCTCTATTATTTACGGGTATTATTTTACTGTGAAAAATATTGTACTTCATTGAGACGTTGCAGTTCAAACCAGCCAATTCAATTTTTATTATTTAGTTCGTATGTCATTTAAGTCATTTCGAAAGCTTTGAACTCACGGTAATGTAGTTAAAAAACTGTTGAAGAAATTAATAGAATATTAAATATCGGAAAATAGATTTTGATGATTTTGGAATACAAAGCTTCAATTATAAATGTAAACTACTGATAATATAATATAAATGATATATATTTTTTTTTCATATCCATAATAATTTATGGATAATTTAGTGCAATATAATTTAGTAATCGATTTTTTTTTTTACTGTTTTTTAATATTATTTATAACTCACTGATAGTTAGGATTTTAAAAATTGAACTTATTTATTTGAAAATATTTTTATGTATTTGACACCGAATCCTGATTATTTAGCATCATTAATAAGTGTAAAAAATAATAGCAATAAATAATTTGGACTATTATTTTTAAATTAAAGGATATGGTGATTGGAAAGCATAGGAGGGTTATGTGTCGATGCTTGTATAATTATTACCATCACATATTCCGCACACCTTTAGTTAGTTGTAGGTTTCCCTGCTTCACTCACTATCATTTTTGTAACTACTTTTGAAGGAATCCATTTCGGAAACCTTTATCATTAACAGAAGCACAAAATAAATACTATTAATTTGTGTTGCCTAATCGTACGAAACTGATGTTAATCACAAAAAAAGAGGAAACAAAAATCGAAATTCCTAACTAATTTTATTATTCGATTCAGCCATTTAAAAATAATGAATAATTAATTTAAACTTGTGCAATCGCCAGTTGTTGAAATCGATCGTTTGAGGAATTGATTTGGCGGAAGCGGTAGCTCCTCACAAGGAGATATCTGCAATGATTGACCTCGGTGGAACGTTCTTTCTTTAAAATATTCACTTCTCTGTTGCTGTTGTTCTGTATTTATTTTTTTTTTAGTAATAAATATTAAAGAGGTATTGGTATTTGTTTACAATTATTGCCGCTAGCTTAAAGTTGAGAAATCAGAGAATGCAGAACAACCAACTCCACTATTTATGTATATATGTATAATAATAATAAAACGTGTGCTCCTGGGTTTCACCCGTCGTAAATTTTGATATTATATTGACGAATTATATCTGGGCTGGAAAAAGTTGATCACTGAAAAAAATATTACGGCAAAAAGCTTTCACCTTATTAGGATTTTTATGAATACAGTATATTTTTTATTATTTGAAGGTAATATACAGAACTCTTCAGAATAACTTTTATTATTAGTTCTTTCTCTCCCCAATATAAATATTTGCTGGCAAACTTTTATTGATAACAATATATATACAATAAATATGCTTAAGAGTTATTCATTGTGCTCTATCACAAATTATTTTTATGGAAAGGAAGCACAAGTATCTAAAGTTTTCTATATTCATTGACGTTAATGGGTTACTATTCCCTTCCTATGTTGATGTTATATTATAAAGCCACTGTTCTTCAATGAAAGACCTAAATGATTATTTAAATGCCAATGTAAGTTTTATTTGAAATTTGCACGTACAAATATACAAATCTTTCAAGTTATCATATTAGTTATATTGTTATTCCTATTTTAAAGATAACTAGTAATGTAAATTAAGTCTTTTTAATTAATCAATTCAAAGATTATATTCGTGAAATCTTTTTTCATGATTACCGTTTTAAAATTTTATGTCGCATAACTGATTGTATAGTTAATTTTATGTTGCTGAATTGGCACATAATACTATGTTTCTATTGAAATTTAGTCTTTGAATTGATTATTAGTTTTAAGTCGTTCAGTGTTTGCAATACGGTTTAGAAAAAAAATTGTTAAAAAATCAAATTAAAATTTTTATTTATTTTTTTCGATTCGTTTGCAACAAATTTTCTCTACAGGGTTACGATTATTTTTTTCACTACCAACATGTCTTCTATAAACCTTGTAGCTACTTGTCAAATGCACTTATATTACCCCCTCCTCCCTGCATATCTTCTTTATGTTTTAATCCTAAGGTTAACCAAGGTTCCTAGACATCCTTCAGTTGAGGACTGCCTGACTGTTAAACGGAGTTTTATCGTTTCCTCAGTCGGATGGGCCCTTCGGCTGAAGTTGCGGCGAACCGGTCCGCCTCCGACCTGATTAAGGAATTCTATAGGCCTTCGGGATAATCCGATCTTTTAACTGCTTCACTTTTCATTATTCCTCGCCCTTCTTAAACCTAGTTTAAATTCTCTATTTTTAGCAGTTATTCTCTCTTGCCATTCCTTTTTTTTTTATAGCTTACTTATGGAATATCTAATTTATATTACTTTTTTATTGTATCAATATCACTTTGTTTTTTTTTAAGATTAATCGTTTTATTTTTCCATACAAGGTATCGTCATCGTAATTTTTTTTTAATTCTTCATAGTAAGGAGATAAAATTTAGTGGTATTTAAACATTATCTCGCCGGTTATATAGTGATGGTTGATAATCGACTCTTTAACTGTGCAGAGATGTTTGCCAAGAGTCTGCGCCGTTTTCATTAACGTTAAACATCATTACTGTCGGAATTAGCATAATGTTGTTGTACTTGGATTTAACACGGATTCGATATTTGAAAAAATAATTTTTAAAATATTGTCATATTTCAATTGAATAATAAGTTAGCCAGAATCAGCTATAAGGTATTTTTCCTTTATTTTTTTTTAATGGTTAGGTTTTAACGTTATCAGAATTGCGTTGCTTTTATGTAGTCGGAAAAATAAATAATCTGAATGCAAGTTTTTTTACTTCAGCTAATTTTTTATATAGTGAATGAGTACTATGTATAATTTAAAAACATAATCAGAAAATTTTAATATTAGTGGTTAATTAGTTGCATCCATCATTTTGGACACCTGTGTGTTCATATACCATTTAGGAAAGAATTATTTTGTGGCTATTCCCAAGGAGCACTAACTCAACATAGTTTTTGAAGTTTAAAAATGAAACTGATAATGTTGAATAAATTTAGTAAAATATACAAGAAATATCATTAACTTAATAAAAGGCATTATTTTTGAAAAATTAATAATTGAAATGATTTTATAGAACAAATTACTGAATGTTTGAACAACTACCTGTATGTCTTATATGTTAGTGACCTGCATATATCAGTCTCACGTGTGTTTAGTGCAAATTTTGTGATTTTTTATGTATTTGCTCATGTAATCATGGCTTGAAACTCGATTGCATTTTCCATAAATATGATGTTGGCACTTTACACACTATGCACAGATGCCACAAATATATAGTACTCATTTAATATACAAAAAGTGACATGACGTAAAAAAAATGCATCCATAATTCCTATTTTTCTGAGTGCATAAAAGCAACGCGACACAAGTATTCCGATGGCAATGATGCAATATCTGCTAATTTTCTGATAGATAATGGTTTTAAATTATATAAATAATTCTCGTTTCCTATCTCAATTGAGAAGACTATTATAAAAAACTTTCATTCAGAGTTTATTTTTTATTTTTTTAACTACATAGAAGCAATTCAATTTTGATAACAATGAAACCACGTCTTATTGACAGATTAGAAGATATAAAAAAAAAAAAAGACCGAAAATATGTTATGCATTTTATATTTTTGTTAGGTGAACAAATGAATTTTATGCTTAATATGAATCATCGGCTTACACGATTTACAATAGTTTTCAAAAAGTCTAATTTGAAATAGACGCCTAAGTTAACTCAAATTGTGAACAACTTATCGATGTTTTAGTACGAATATAATCCTATTTTTCGTATTATTGTAATTTTACATGTGTATTATTATTCGATTCTCGAATGTTAATTCCTCTGATCGTCGTTTCTGGAAGCTCTGAGTGTAGGAAAGGTCATGGAAATATATACGATGCGCTATAGAACTCAGGTACCTAATTAACGACCACTACAGAAAGCCTCCCTGCAGCCCAGAGTGGACCAGGACCACAGACAGATCCTCTAAATAATAACAAAGTGGGAAGGAGGACATGATTGATAGAGGACCCACGTGCAGCTAGCGTAGATCCGGCAACGCCGCGTGCGGCCCGGGCCTTACGCAAGCATTTCAAGGCCGTACCTGCCGCCCCCCACCACACCTCACTGTCTCTCACATTGTTAGTCAATTCTTGCCGAGCCGCTTACCCCAGTCCTCCTCTTCGCCGGTATCTCTCCTCTCGAGTCGTTCCTTATGTCAACAAACTTCAATCGGTTGACGATATGCGTCCGAAAATGGGGACCAAGTTACCTACGTTTCGAAAGAGTCTATTCCTTGAGTTAATTTACTTGCAAACTTTTTTTATTGATTCAATTGTCGTTTTCTAAAAAACAAAAATATTGTCAATGTCATTAAATCTTTGCTTTTACCCGGAGCCCACGGTACAGACCCTTTTTTATCAAATTAGTCACATCCATCTAAAATAGCTTCATCATATGGTTTCCTACAACTTTATATGTAAAATAATTCTAAAAAAAAGGGATGTTTTTTCCTCATTGAATTAATTAATTTAATGAGGCACTGAAAACTCACAAATAGCTGCTTTCTGCTTCAATGGTAAGGTGATCACAAAATCAGGAAAAAAGGTAAATATGGGGCAGTTTGGCTTTTATAACCTTCGACATATTGGGGGTAGAGGTCGCGCCAAACGACCAAATATTTTTGTAGGCTACCTTTCTCGATTTTGTGATCAAATCATCATGTGTTTTTAATATCTCAAGATTGAAAACGCCCTAAATTCGAGAATTTTCGTCAATAACAACATTGTAGCTTACGATTAGATGAAGCCATTTTGAAGAAAGCTTTTGATGAATGTTCATAATTTGACAAAAAGGCAATTTAAGTTTATAAAATCGCGGACTAATAGTTTCTTCTTCAGATTTTATTATTTCAGAATCGATCCTCAAATCAGCCTTCATTACTTTTTAACAACTGATTGGGTCATTGATAAATTTTGAGGAAACGCGAAAAACTATATTTTCTATTCCAATTGACATTCCAAAACCAATATTTCTGTAAATTATTGATCATTTCAACAGTTATTAAAAACATTGAAACTTTAATTAGGGTCGCTATTGAAAAGAATTGAACTTCAAGTCTCGTTTTTCGGACAAAAATATGTTTGATTGGGATTCATTCAAAGATTGATTAAAATTGTTTTATAAAAAATCAACTTCTCGTTTACAATAATCGTACAACAAAATAAATTTATTTTTAATTTTTATTTAAAAAAAGAATCCTTTGATGATTTTTTTTTTCAAATAATGCTTAAGAAATACAATTTAAATTCAAAAAAGGACCATTTCGGATATAAATTTATTTTCACACCACTAATATTTAGGTTCGTTTAAAAAAACAAAACATGTACCATCGGATTCATTGAGTGTTTTTATACGGGAATCGATAATTCTCTATCTCAATCACGAATTCTGATTAAGCAAAATGAATGAAATACCACATCCAAACTACCATCATAACGACAGTAGTATAGGACTGAACGATTCTGGCGTTATTTATACATTTATTTACCTTTTTAGTATTTCTATGTACGTTCCGAAATCATTATTTATTGTTACTTGGACAGTTGCCGGATGGCTCAAACTTGGAACCTCGACCTTGAAAGCAGCTGTTGCGCTAAGCCCAGTAGCTAGTTCCATATTTGCTTTGGCCAGCCCGTTGCCCAACACCGCTCCAGGCACTCTCCATAACGATGCCCATTGGTCATTTCCACTGGTGGCCAATATTTGTAATCCGGATTGGAGAGTTATATTTCTTTCTAGTTGGTCATAAATAATTCAACCTACATTTTAGCAACCGAACTGGTGTATCCCCATGCCTTGAAATCTTCAGTGTTTATCGAAGTTCATACTAAAATCCACTTATACCTACAAAGTTAAATTACTTTACCCCTCCATCAGTTTTTTGTTAGCTCCGCTCGTGAGCTGTTGTTTGATCTATGTTATATAACGCTTTTCTGTTATTAAAATGGTTATATGTAATGTCCTCTAGTGTCGTCTGTTCTAAATATACGAATCGAGTATTGGTTTCAGATTGACATTGATCATATCCGTGAATGTGTATCCTACGGTTGGCCATCTTGTTTTCTCTTTTCGAAATAATAATTGCTGTGAAAAAGTATAAAAGATAATACAATGACTTTATCGTTTTTTTTTATTCTTTTTTTTTTATTCTTCATAATTATTGTAAGAGAATATTCTTATAAAATAATCATGACATATTTACATTTCTTTCTTGAAGCTATTAATTAATGAAATTTATTTTGGTGTTTATGAAAATATTTAATTTAGTACTTCGGATGTATATAATATTGAAAAATTGCTGGTCAAGTAATTTTTAAAACCTTTATGATATTTTGTTGAAATAATAAATTAACTAATTCTTAAATTATTTAAAAAAATATTAATTATGACATCATTGTTATTCATTGAGTCTTCTCAGTATTATGGGAACTCCTAATTAATTTTACTTATAACCAAGTAATATTAGCAATGAAGATTTTATTATTCAACCCACTAGGGCACACTTAAAATAAACAGAAAAAGAAGACTCAAATTTATAAGTGCTCCACTTTGTCTTGTCAATTTGTAAGTTTTTTACCCTGGTTAACTGACCCATATTTTATTTTTTTTTTTTTCTTAATTAGTAATCCAATTGTATTTTTCAATTTTTTTATCAAACAAATTTACTAGTTATTTTTTAAACTTGGTCATATTATAACCAAATATATCTAAATTTAAAAACAATTCAGAAAAGAATGACATAGCTGATTTTCATGAACAAAATTTTAAGAAAAACTAATATAAAAAAAGAATATCGAACAATATAATTTAATAGTTTAAATAATGAACAAAATTATCTGCTGATCTTACTAATTGTTTTAATGCAAATTTATTTTTGCTTCTTTTTTTGGATTGTCTTACGTAGTCTTCTCTTCAAACTTTTTCAATTTTGAGTTTTTAATGGATAATCGAATTATTACGGAAAGGATATTACTTTTTCTTTTTAATATTTCTTCTCATGGATCCCTCTTTTGTTGTAATACTACTAGAAATAAAATTAGATAATATTTATTTCCTTGTGTTAATTTTGTTTTTAGGTATAATTTCACCAGTCCGTTTCCTAACAGGCCTGGTGGGTCCCTAAAGGCAGACATGTCTGGCAGTCCACCTGTCCCCTTTTTGGCAACACTATTTACCGAATACCCGACCATTCGTGGTACAGGTAGATAAAAAACCCTGAACTGCTAGACAGGACTCAGACACCCCCTACCAGTATAGAGCTCTGCCTGTATATTTAGGACGCACCAGCTCTAGTATTGTGTAAGAGCACAAAAAAAAAAAGGAACAACAGATGGCGTGTCCCTCGGATTTTTTTTGTGTATTGTCCCGATCTGTATTTAGATTTTAGAGATTGGAAACATAGCGGCAGTTATAAATACGATAGCTATTTTATTTAAGATAGAAATATTTATTTATGAAATATAAATTAATTTAATTTATTAATAATAATTTTGATTGTACAATGTAATTTACGTGGGTTTTTCCTATTCATTTCTTTGTTACATTTTTTTTTTCAATTGCAATTCAGACGTATGAATTTATCTTTACACAATATTAACAACAGTAAGTGAAACAGTTATTTTTAAAAAAGCACGTGTTTATTTTTTATCTTTTGTTTTGTTTGTGAGTTGTTCTGCGTGATATTAATCATAAATAAAAGAAAACTATACATAAATAAAGATTAATTGTTTATGATATTATGTCAATTTATTATTGCAAAAACTCTCTAAGTACTTTTTTTTATGGAGTTTATTTTTTAAGTAAGAACCTTTTTGTGAATTTCGACCTTACATATAGATAAACCAAGCAGAGCCCCTTATACATATATTCATATATATCAAATATACTTTAAACAAGTGCACAATTCCCTAATTTCGTCAAGATAAAATATTATGATATTAAAAAAAAAAAAAATTATTGTAATTGTTAGTAGAAAAAGGCCTTTTCACTCTCGGTAAATAATTACTTTATTTCAAAATTGTCCAAATTTTCGCCTCTTCAGGCATCTTCAGGAATAATCGGATTTTACATATAATTTAAATTTCATCTGAAAAAAACATATACAAAAATCTTTCGGAGTATTTACTATTAGTGAGTTTGCTGTTAGTTTGGTGCTATGAGCGAGTAAGTTTTTATATTTTGATATATACATATATATATATATATATATATATATATATATATATATATATATATATTGTTGACTGATAAATATTGTTTTTAAGGTTATCATGGTTTTATAAATGAGATAATGTCTTATAGTAAATCTTCTGAAAGATTTTTATGTTTTTTTCAGATGAAAATTTAAATTATATTTAAAATCAGATTATTCCTGAAGATGCCTGAAGAGGCGAAAATTTGAAATAAAGTAATTATATATTGGGACTGAAAAGGCCTTTTTCTACTAATACTTATTATAGTCTCTTTCCCTAGATCGTCTTTTATTATAATTGTTAAAAAAAAATAAACATTGTTTGAACGTTTAAAAAAAAAAACTTCGATTTTGAAAATAGATAAAAGAATTGAAAATAATAAACCAAAAAATCATTTGAGTGGTAAAAAAAAAAGAGTTATTGAATCAACGAATTCAAATAATAAAAATTACTTAATTTTAATATTTATTTTTTTATTTCATGATTTAAATTCGTTTCTCAATTATTGTTTGACTTTAACCCTCAGTCTTATGAAGAATCAGTTGCATATTGTCGTATGTATTATCCGTATCTTAGATTACCCAGATATTGTCTTTATTTACGTTAAAAGATTTAGAAACAATTAATTGTGTTTGTAAAAGGTTATAATATTTGATCACTTTATAATTGTTACGATTATTAAAAATAATTTAAAGAAGATGATTTATTAGCGATAGTTAAGAGATCTCTTGGGTATCTCAGAGCGCCCAGTTAAATTCTTGGCTCTTTGATGTGAAGCCAAAATATTCAAGAACCGACCCATTTCTACTAACCTGATTCTGTTTAGAAACTCGTAACTTTTTTATTTTTTTTTTTTCCTCCTTAAATTAACCGTATAGGATAATTATTATATCCATGCGAAAACAAATACACGAATCATATGTATATTTTAGTTATTTTTATTATAGTTCAATTTTCGTTTCTATTTTTTCCTTTTAAATTCAACTTCTGTTGCATTTTGTTTAAAGTCCAACTTACTATTTTTATTCTTTCTGTACATTATTGGTTACAAAATGATTTTTGTTTTTTAATATTTTTTTCTGTTATTAGTTTTTATAATAATATAATATTTAACGTTGTGATTATTACATCTATATTTAAAATATATAAAATTATTTAATAAATAAACTCTGTTGTTTAATTGAGACTTGTTGGCTGTAATACAAATATTTCAATATTTGTTAAGATCCTTTTGATTCTCTCTGTGATAGCCATAGGGCGTTGTTAAATTTTTACATATAATTTTATCATAATAAATACTAGTTTTATATTTATGCCTTAGCTATAATAATAGTATTACTTAATAGTATAATTAATAATGTTAAGCTAGTTAGTTTAAAATAAAGCGTTGAATTGTTGGTTTGTTGCTAAGGTATATGCAGCGTTGGCTGAGTTAGATGTGGCCTATTTGGCCGAGCAAAATGAACTAATTGTGTTCTATTACTTCCTTCCGGGCCTCAAAAGCTAGGCCCTGCTCCCCTGCATTCCACACCACTATTTATTTAATTTTACTAATTTTTTTATTAATATTATTATAGTAGCACAATTTAAAAAAAAATATTTTGTGTTGGAAATTTATCATTACTTCAAATAATATTCCTTGTCGACAGACATCTGTTTTAAAAATTATTAGTAGCTCCGTTTCAATTTATCTTAACGTACTCAATACTTAACTATTTATATTTATTAAAAAATAAATAAATGATACGTTCCCAAACCTAAAATACTTCATCTCTACAAGCTATTGAATTTCTACCAGACAACCGATTAAAAGCCAATATAATATCTCTATTTAACTAATTCCTCCAGTATTCATTCTAGAATTAAAATAAATAAAAAACCTTTATATTCTAACCTACCCGAAGTCGAAAACATTGGCCAACATACTCCAAAAATAGCGGCCAGGCGCTTTGGCAATATTAAAGTATAGATTAGGACGATGACCTAGTTAAAACTATGTAAGACCGTATTACTATTTCGTAACCGGCAGAAAAGGGCCCACATCATTTATTGTATATAATTTATATATGAAAATTTATTTTACGTAAGTAATTAGTTTTATAGGCCTAATTTACAATAATATCGATGTTCTTAAAAAATTCACTAACTACTAAATGTTTGATCGGGTTCAAATCTTGACTATGTTTTACTAAATGCTGAGAATATTTTTATATATTATATTAGTAATAAACAAAATTCATCACATCATAATTTAATTATTCATGTATTATACTTATGAACTTCTGTACTTGAAAAAACTTTAATATTGAGATTTGGGATCCTTTCTCAAAAATACATTTTTAAATTTCTTTTTAAAAATCCCATTTCCAGGGTTGAGCTGAAATATTTTTTAATAATATTTTCGAGTTACATCACCTTTTTTTATTATTTAGTCGTTATTGATGCGGGACCTAATTTTCGCAAAATCGATTTACTGCGTCTATATTTTATTATTTCGAAATATAGAACTGCTAAGTCAGCATTATCTTACATAAATATTTAACGATTCATAAATTTGTTTTAAATTTTTCCAGACCCGATATTGTTCTACTATAAATGCTGGTTTCAAGAAAATTTTGGTTTTATCTCTAACTTCCAATATATTAAACCCTTAAGAAGTTCTTTCGAGTTCTTGTATAAATTTTACTATTCGAAAGGTTATCTAATTTTTGATTGATTTAGTGGGAGTAGTACGTTCCCACATTTTTTTATAGAGAGGATTTAGTAAAACATTTTCTTCTACTTTGTTTTTATTTTTATTTATTAATATTTAACGCTAGAAATTTAATGTCTGAATTCCTATTATCCCAAAGAGCATCCTCCTAAAATCAGACGAACCTTATGTTCTAAATTCGCTCTAAAAAAATATATGTATATATATATATTTTTTTTTTTAAACTTGTTTATTGTGAAATATTACAATCAGTCTCAATCAAGAGTATATAGTTCAAACAGCACATTCACGCCATATTTACTGAAATATAAATAAATTAAGTAACAGCAATATAATACATATAAATCAGAACGAATGTTTGTGTATAAATTAGAAAGAAAAATAATAAAATAAAATGTACTTTAAAAAGTAAAATAATAATCTCAGACATAGGCATACTTTAATAAAAATTAAAATCAGCCCGAGAAATTCCGGATCAGTCCCCCAACTTGTGGAGGGAAAAACGAGGCTCTAGGAGATCCCACTGCTTCTCCCTCAGCCACTTCACTGGTATTAAAGGCAACGGAGGTTGAGTTAGAGCGCATGACAACAATAATGAATTAAGAAGAAATTCTGTTTTCTAGTGATGAATACATATTCCGAATAGTGGATTAGCGTAATTCACCTTAGACTGATAAAGTTATTTTTTCTTCCCCACACTGAGAATAGTTCAAGAGCTCTAACTGTCGGATAGTTTCGTTAATATAAGCTAGCTGCTAGTTATGTCGGGTCGTGAGTCAATTATTTTTTAATGATTTAAGCATAAATATTATATTGCCCTCCCGAATTATTTATTTATATCGAATTATTTTTACACAAATTACACAGTTACTTTGCCTTTTCTATACAGAAAACCTGAATAGACTTGTTACATACAGAACCTATATTAGCTTAGGAAACAAGTTTCTGAATGTTACTCACTGAAAGTGAATCGAACTTCTTTTTTTTTTAAATTATATAATGAAAGATTTAACCTTCTTTAAGTCATTGATTCATTCTCTCAACAGAAATTCAAATATATTTTTTATCTCTTGGAAGAAACGTCTGATTCATATCTGTTTTCTTTATTGTCATTTTCATCTCCAGTTTCTATCATTCCGGCGAATAAGTTGTGCTTGAAAACTTTTGATAAAACTTTATTTACCGTATATCGATAAATATACTTAAGATATCGATGTTATGTCCGTCTTTATATCTTCTAAAACTTACCATCCCATCAAAGACTTCTCGACGGAGTTAGACACGGAACTTTTTCCACAATTTAG